GATGGGGCAGTGGGAAGATGGTACACCCTTAGCAGTTACTGCTCTTCTTTGGCTTCTGATTGCCTGTGCTGGCGGGCACAGGGCAGACCTGACTTCAAGTGGGACAAAGGAGTTGAGTGAAGAGCAGTCTTGATTGCAGTCTTCATGAGCTGAGCCCCAAAACTTTTGCCTTCTGGTCATGTTGCAGGCGGCAACTTGGGCTTGTGTCATGTACACTAAGCGTGAAGAACTGATCATACTATGCAATTGGAGAGCTTGGGGACACATACGCATCAGCATGCGTTTACATGTATACGCATACTTAAGAGTGTGGAGGGAGCGTGAGTACAATTTCAAGTATGGATTCAAACCCACCCTTAGTTGATGCTTCACACAATCTCAAAGCATTTATTAGTGTAATAAAACTGCAGGTGATGTGAAAATATATTGTTTGACTCAAACCTGAGTGCTCTCAGGTTCAGGAATTCTTTTTTTTTATTTAATTTTCCTGAATGTGTTTGACTCTTCCTGCCTCATTGCAACCTCATGTTTGCATGGGCAGCTTACTGACTCAATACGCTTCCTTTTTTGCTGATAACTCCTCAGCACCCGTTTAAGTTGCTGTTTGTATTGTGTGTTTTACAGCTTGGAAGTATTTCTTTCTAGCAGGAATTTTACATTGTCCCTGTCTTCTTGGCTGCTAGCACATTACTATAAATGTTCCTTGTTAACTGTATTTATATCATCTTGTATTGTCTAATCTCATACTTCAAAACAAGTATTGAAACCTGCGAGTTTCTCTTAAGCCCTTAGCAGCATTCAGTGAGCACCACTGTCTGTTTAACATCAGGCTTTGGGCAATGAAAAAGAGCATTCACATTTGCTTCTCCCCACCTTTAAGAACAGAAATAGATGTATAACAGCTTTTCGCAGCATCTTTGATCCAGGCCCTCTTTGCTGTTTGAAAGGTAGTCCTGATCACTGGAACATGGTCTCCTGACTGAAGGTCTTTTCATTGGACCAGAAGCTTTAAATGCATGGGCAAGACTTTACAGAATCTGTAGAGCTGGAGCTAAAAATACCAAAGATTTTATTTTTATGTATTCCATCCCTCTGGGAACAGTGCATTGGCGGTTCTTTATCCCAGACATGTATTCAG